CTGGCGGACAAGCAGTGCTTACGAAATCCAACCTCATGAAATTCAGGTTCTGAAGGTCAGATATCAGCCACGTTTAATCTGTGCGAAGGTGGTGTTAGCAAGAAGTATGTTTTCTTTCGAGTTTATTCATACCTTATTGCGTAAAGGAACGTTTCAGCGTTAACATGTAGTATTTCTTAGATGCAAGGATATTTTCTAGACTGCATTCAACTAATCTCAAGTTATCAGTGAAGTTAAGATGAAGCTAACCTCTGCCTGTAGCTTTGTGATATCTGATTGTTCGATGGCAGGCATGTTCGACACTCGTACGAGGTCATTTAGAACTTGACGTTTTTGCTCACGTTCTGCATTAAGCTTCACATCCCGCAAATAGGTGTTTGTTGCAATATCGTCCTTAGAAAGTAAACGTAATCTTAGTCCGACCCAAAAATTCCTCATTTGTGCTAAATAGGTTGTTACCTCCAACTGCGCTATGAGGTTGGTCGGATCAAGATTTTCAGAGATTGATCGCAATTCCGCCAGTTGATCCTTGAGTCGTTGAATTTTCTTCTCAGTATTGATCATCTAAGGAGTTTTAACTTCGAAGCAGCTGGTTAAATCATGGACACACTTAAGCGACAAGGAATATTCAAGAGGCAAACTGAAAGATTTACTCCATCGCGTTGCTCAAAACGCTGCATGTCCAGTTCACTAAGACGATTCTTTTGAAGACGAAGATCAACAGCCGCAGCCATCTGTCTGAAAAAAATGTTATTTAGAATAAAATATAGAGAAAGGTTAAAGGTTTGAGAAATATCTTCAGAGCACCTTTTGAGTGAAGGTAAATTCTCTATTTTCTTCAGCGTTTTCTCGATTTTTCTCGCCAAAACTTCTTTTTCCAAGGTCATAGACTTCAAATCGGACTTAATATCCTCAATCAGCAGAGTATCCTGTTGAACATCGAGAACGCTTGCATGCGTAAGCTTAATTAACGAGCTGTTGCAGGATTTCAGCTTGAAACGACCT